TCACACACTTGGACATGGAGTCACACACTTGGACATGGAGTCACACACTTGGACATGGAGTCACACACTTGGACGTGGAGTCACACACTTGGACAAGGTGTCACACACTTGGACATGGTGTCACACACTTGGACATGGTGTCACACACTTGGACATGGTGTCACACACTTGGACATGGTGTCACACACTTGGACATGCTGTCACACACTTGGACATGCTGTCACACACTTGGACATGGTGTCACACACTTGGACATGGTGTCACACACTTGGACATGGTGTCACACACTTGGACATGGTGTCACACACTTGGACATGATGTCACACACTTGGACATGGTGTCACACACTTGGACATGGTGTCACACACTTGGACATGGTCCTGCACATTGGACATGGTGTCACACACTTGGACATGCTTTCACACACTTGGACATGGTGTCACACACTTGGACATGGTGTCACACACTTGGACATGGTCCTGCACATTGGACATGGTGTCACACACTTGGACATGGTGTCACACACTTGGACATGGTGTCACACACTTGGACATGCTGTCACACACTTGGACATAGTCCTGCACATTGGACATGGTGTCATACACTTGGACATGGTCCTGCACATTGTACATGGTGTCACATACTTGGACATGGTCCTGCACATTGGACATGGTGTCACATACTCATAATCCCAGCCCTGGGGAGAATGAGAAAACGAATCTCAAATCCAAGGTCATCTTAGGCTACAAAGCAAGACTGCCATAAAAACCAAGCAAACAAAAAGCAAACACATTAGAAGATTTGAGAACCTGTCAAGTTATGTTTGCTGCTGCCAAGCACCCAGAAACAGTGCTGGGGCCTTCAACACATATTAATTGAGTTAATTAATTAATAAACAATAAATCCAGACAGGTACCCATTCTCAAGAAAACAAAAACAAAAAGCAAGCAACAGGAACAACAAAACCCATAAAGAAGCAGATGTATAGGAGACCGGAGGCAGAGTTCCTGTGTAATTTCGGGTCTCAGACTCCTGAGAACCCTTCTGTTGTCCATGGTTAAAGCCCCATGTTAACTAGAACTATGATATTTCTAGAACTCTTCCTGAAATTCATCCCGGCAATTTGATTTTTGCAGTTAAACATAATCATGGATTCTGAAGCAGATTTTAATTTAAAAAAAAAAACAAAGAATCATTGTACATGCATTTGGTCTGGAAAAAATAGAGTCCTAACATTGGTGGATCCTAACAACCACATTGCAATGAACTGAAGACATGTTTGTGATACAAACATTAAATACCTGTCTCTACGTTTCCTTTTATTTTTATTTCTTACATCTTTTGGAGGACTTGGAAGGATTAAACATCCTAGCTTCCCGATGGTCGGTCAGATGTCTGTGACTGACTCTAGACAATGTACATGTTACTGCCATGTGAAGTTGCCCAGGTTTCCATCTTCGCAATAGTGATGGTGAAGGCATGCACATGTGTGGAGCTCATCCCAAGCCACTGCAGAAGATAATTGTTAAAGAGATCACGATGATCCTTAGCCTACTCTGTTGGAGCTAGAAAAACAGATCTCTCTTGTTTTATGCCTCTGGAATTTTTCCTGAGACTGGTTGTTGCAGCCTAACTCAAGGAAATATAATACCCTACTGATTAGGAAATACATTGTTACTCTATGTACCATTAGCAGGAAATAGATGCCACTTAAAAAAGTAAGAATTCAAGGCAAAATGCATTCTAATCTTAAATCTGTGAATATATGAGCCTTAGATTAGGTAAAACATAGATTGTTACAAGAATTCATTTAAGTCAGACTAGCATAGCATTTAAAACTCCAGAGCTGGAACTGGGCAGGAAGCTATGAGTCCACATCCCAGTACTTCTTAGCAACTTGTATAAAATTCAGCTTCCTTTTGTGACTTGGATATAACAAAAGTAGCTGCAGGGGGTTTATATGAATATTAAGTGAGATAATTCCTATCATACATTGGACGTAATAATTATATTTTAATCCTCTCCTTTAGCTAGAGCACTAAACTTGTTCAAGATGAACATTCATTTCAAATATTATGCAGGAAATCATTTTGAGATGGTGTTTTAGGGTACACTAATCAATTCTGAGTGATAACAAATATCTATAGGAGGAGGTCTATAGATAACAACAATCTACAGAAGACCACTCTGGGGTCTTCCCATTTTCTGATGTGTTTCTATGTAAAGCAGACACAAATTAAGATCAAGAGCAACTCTAAAGAGGGGAAAACACAAAAATGCATCTGAGAAATATACAGAACGGGCCTGTGTCTCTCGTGGTGATTGGCAGGGCTAACAAGAGGGAAAATGAGTACTAATTGTATACCGGGAGGGGGAGGCTTGGGTGCTGTGTGGGAATTCAGAGGAGTTATGTTGTTGTTTCTACCCACAGCTTTAGTTTTACAAAAACGTTATCCAGGGAACGTGATCTGAGTCAAGATCTCAAGTGTATAAAGCGTCTAGTCCTGCTCTAAAGGTGTCCTGTGGTACATTTCGGGAATCACAGATTCATGAATGTGTAGCTATCGTAGTTCTAAAGTTCAGGTCAGACTCACAGTTTTCCTCAGACATACTTTCTGTGCTTCCGTTGCCACTCAAGGCGTGCTTCATGGGTTCTGATCCCATAGTCGCACCTCAGTTTTCTGGAGGGCACAAAGGAACAGGTGGCTGACTGATGACATTTTTTTTTTTTTTATCAAACACCTGGGCTATTTCTTTAAAGTCACTTTCTTTGAAAGAAGTGCAGCTGCTTCTAAATATAAAACTGGGCTATAGTTTACCTTTTCTGTTTACTTGTTTCTTAACTTGGGAAACTGTAGCTAAGACTGGGGGTATACAACTTGTTACTTGATATCAGCTGAACAACAGTGAATCAATTGTGACAGCTCTGGCACCAAATGGAACAGAGCTGACTTAAATATATTTCCAGGAGACAAAGGCCTCCTATTGCACGGTTTGTTTTACAACACGTGTCTGGAGTTTTACACTTTTGGAAAGTAAGAAGAAAAGTTTTCCCACCATGTCTTTAGCTAAGAGGACGGAACAGAATGAACAAACTTGCTCCCATTCACATACTGTCTTGGTGAAATTCTGATTTAACCTCCCCACCCCCACCCCCAAGGATTCCCTTCATTTCCTCTACCAGCAACAGTATCATGGAGACACTCCTTGCTTAAAGCACAGCCCACAGAACACCACATAGTTAGTGGTCTGGAAAGGGGTGTAGGGATAAATAGATCTGGGCTTCTCTTAGCCTCCTTATTATTGGGTCGCTGAAGGTTTTCCAAGGTCTACTGCAAATTTCGGGACCCAGCCAGAGGGCTTGGGACTCCCGAGCTGGATGCACCTGGATATGTTCCCAAGGCTACTGAAAAAAAAAATCACTGTAACTGAAAATGGCTCCCTCGGTTTCCATCCCCCCCCCCCCCCCTTAAACTTGAAACCTTGCTAAGAGTCCCAGGTGTTACTCTCCGATCCCCGCCCCAGGGTTCCAGCCCCTCACCAGGAACCCTAACAGGGCAAGTTCCCTCAGACCTCCTGAATGGCTTGGGGTAGAAGGCTACTAGGAGTAGGAGGAGCCAGGTACTGCTTTCCTTCGCAACCCTCCCCCCGCTTCGTGTAAGGAAGACTTGTTTTCCAGGGCACATTCACAAATATTTGGAATTCGGTGCGTACGAAACAAATTATGCTAAAATGCAAAACAGGTTTCACAGAGGTGTTCAGCCCTCCGGAGTATGCTCCCAGATATCTTTAATTCGACACTTAAGAGACAAAACAATGCTAAAATGTAAATGAGGCAATGCAATACTCAGAATGAACCCCACTTGATAGGCCAAACTGAGATTTTAATGAAAAGCTTACTCATACCCCCACATCGATTTCATTCTATCTTTTAAGTACTTAAAAATGTGTAATTTAAAATTCCACCACTGTCATAATGAATACTCTATAATAACCAGCCGTGGAACAATGGGCACCCCCATATCACATTGTGTCAGGTAATTACAAAGTGGAGCGGCATGGGAAAACTGAGCCAGGAACGTCGAGGTGTCCCTTTGCAGTGTGTATGAGCATTCAGAGCTGTGAGTCTCTGGCGCCTGATCAAATGGTTCACACCAATGCCTCAACCCAAAAGACCGGGACAGGCGCAGTCGACCTTGGCCCAGGGCGTGGACAGAGGCGGCCCAACAGGAGACGCGTGAAAGCTGGAGATCTGGGCTCTGGAACCCGCAGATTCGAGTCTCCTGGAAGAGTGTGGAACCCAGCGGAGAGGAGAGGGTCCTGCTGGGCGTGGCGAGGGCGTGGGGTTCCTGGAGGGAGGGTTCCTGCGCGGGATCCTGGGCGCACAGCAGTACCCACTAAGCCCAACCCTTTCTATTAAAGCTCAGGGCATGATGAGGGTGCACGGGGGGTCACCGGGTAAAGATGCTACTTTGTAACAGTGCCTAAGAGTGCGCGTGGGGCCGAGGGGGAAGGGAGAGAGAACGAGAAAGAAAGAAATCAGGGAGGTTGAAGGTTGAGTTGTCCTACTTCTAAGTCTTTCTCAGGAAGAAGAAAGCTTCCTGGCAAACAGTCTGAGGGCGCGCCGCGCTGGGGACCCCTCTAAGGAATATTCAGCCTCCACGCATTCTGCCGTGGCCCCCGGGGCAGGACACTCGAGTCTGAGCGGTGGGTCCGGTCTGTGTTTCACTCGGCTACTCGGCGCTGCAATCCCGGGGCCGAGTGTTCGCTTTGCTTTCAGGTCTCTGCTCCCTTCCACTGCTCAATCTCCACCCTTCACCCCAGTACGTTTTGCCTTAACGGCCTCTAGGTCAGACTCCGAAGCCAACTCTGAGCCCACGGGAGCCCACGTCACGGAGTTCAGGAGCAGGTAGGGGGTCTGCCAGTCGCTGCAGCGCAGGGATTGTCGCGGGGAGGCGACGGCTACGAGGAGTGCCGGTGCCCGGCGCCCAGGAGCAGGCGGCCGCCAGCAGCCCCCGAAGAGGCACAGCAGCGGCGTCTACAGCGACCGGGAAGCCACGCCCGCTCGCGAGCGGGGGGCTGGCCCAGTACTCCCCCCATCCTCCCCTCCCTCGGACCCCTCCCCGCGCGGTCCCTCCCTCCGCCCGCGGCTCGGCTCGCGGGAGGCGCAGGGCACCGGGGCTGGCGCGCTCTCCCGGGCGCACACACATATCCACGCACGCACGCCCAGAGCAGCTGTCTCCGCCGTGGCCGGCGCTCCTCTCGCCCATGCGGACGGACAGAGCTCAGGAAGATGGCTGACGACTCCGTGGGGCCCCGAGGATGCAGCCCGGAGGCGGCGGGAGCGGGAGCGGCGGAGGCGGCACCGGTAGCGGCGGCAGCAGGAGCGGCGGCGGCGGCGGCAGGAGCGGCGGCGGCGGCATCCCCGAGACTCCCCGGGCTACCCTTCCCCGTGACGGCCACTGACGGTCTCCGCCGCTAGAAGAGACCCCCGCTCCTCCCTCGCCTGCCTCCCCCTCCCAGCCCCGGACCCGCCAGCACCGCTACCTCCGCCAGCGTTGCCACCATCAGCACCACCTCCACCTCCGCCACCGCCACCGCTACCGCCACCACCACCACCGCCGGCGGCGGCAGCAGCCATTTCATCTCCACAGAAACCAGACACAAAAACATGGCAGAAATGGAGAAAGAAGGGAGACCTCCGGAAAATAAAAGGAGCCGGAAACCGGCTCACCCCGTGAAGAGGGAGATCAACGAGGAGATGAAGGTATTTTAGGACTCCGCGGCCGGGGAGACCGAGCTCTTTCTTCCGTCCGTTCCCTTCGGGCTGTGTAGGCTTGGGGGGGGGGGGGGCGACAGGGGCGCGCTTGTCAGTTTCTATCGGGTCCCCGGGACGCCTCAGCTCCTCCTCCAGGTGCAAAACCTAGGCCAACTCACGAGCTGCATCCCCGAAATCTGCCAACCTCAGATCTGATGGGGGCGGGGGAACATATACTATTTAACCTCACAAACCCTAGATTAGTGCAGATGTTTCAGGGTGAGGGTACCGGACCCCAGTGGCCAGTGGGCATGGCGCAGTGGCTTTCGCAATGGTCAGTGTAGTCTTTCTTTCCTTTTCGGAAATGAGCCTCCGGACCCCTCCAAAGTTAAGAGCTGCCGAGATGGGGCACTGGGATACCTGGATTCCACCCCTCTTCCCAGTTCGTCCCCAAGCTCAATGATCCCTCTTTGCTCCAACTCGCCAGTTGCGGCCGTGTAGCTGTCAGTGCTCGAGGCTTGGGCCGGAGTGGTTCGGGTCAGCGACAGTACAGCCAGCGGGCTCGCGTCTGCCGCCCCCGGCCGCTCGTCTCCGCCGCTGCCCCGGGTCTCCAGCTCGCCTCTGTATGCCTCACTTTCCCGTTAGCAGATCGGGCAAGCCCGGCTGAAAGCCAGCTGTCTGAGGGGCGGCCTTCACAGCCGCCTACCCATTGTTCACGAAGGCCAGCCCAGAGTCCTCTCTACGAGGCCGGGCTCCCTGCCAGGCCAGCGGTGCTCCAGAGGTGGCGAGCGCAGCCTCCTGGCGCTCCAGCTGTTCGCGCTGAAGCCTGAGAACATCGTTCAGCTTGGACCCCTCTTCACCCCACTTCTTTATCTTCCTCAAAGTTGTGCGTTTTGCCTGAGCGAGGATTTTTATTTTGTGTGAATTTGACGAGTTTCACAATTTTTTTTTAAAAAAAAAAACCCTTTATGTATATAGTTTTGTTTCTATGACTTAACAAAAAAAAAAGTATAAGGCTTGCTTTTTGCGTTTCTTGGTGTTCTCCACTTCTGCACAGAATCCTTAATACAGTCAGGTGACTTGGTCATTTTTGGTTACGTTTGTATTTGAAAGGCAAACTGGTTAAAAATGGTATGGGACTAATTCACTGTTATTGCGTTTTGGCGTCTTCTTGGTTATAACAAGCCTATTTAGGGAGAGTGCCTCGGTGAAGCCCATGCTCAGAAAGGGCAAACACAGCTTATGCCGTTTGTGTAACTAGGTGTCTGACGGTTGCTTTATCCCTCTCTCGGAAGTCTCACCAGTATTCCGCATTTTGGAAGTAAGGCTGTTATTTCGGGGGGTGAAGAATTTTTATCTGGAAGAAGAAGGTATCCGTCTGGAAAAGTAAAGCTTTGCTTTGAAAATTAGTACCATCCCCTGTAACAGAAGCCACCATTGATTCCAATGATAGGCAGTGAAAGGAAGGAAGGGAGGGAGGAAAGAGAGAGAGAGAAAAGGAGAGAGAGACAGAGAGAGAGAGAGAGAGAGAGAGAGACGGAGACAGAGACAGAGAGAGAAAGAAGGAAGGAAGGAAGGAAGGAGAAAGGAATAAAGAAAAGTTGTTTTCTCCTCTCCATGAGGCAGAGTGTGCCCTGCAGTTCTGGCCCTTCCCGCTTGTCCTGTGTTTCTACATTACTTTCCGTGTCGTTTTAAATGAACAGTGGGGCCCGACAAGAGAAGGCCACTAGGAAATCACAGATAGCTCTGGCCCTTTCAAATGCTGCCTAATGCCCTCTATATGGATGGCAGCTTTTAAGTTTCATAGGTTCTAGAATTACAAATTAGCTAATTTTAATCAAAACATGTGAAACGTTATCCCGGCTGGATATAAAGGCTGACTGTGCTCAGTGCTTGGGGCTGGTGCTGTTGGCTTTGGCTGCGGGCGCACTCAGTGGTTTGGGAGATAGTTGTCCTTCTACAGTATAACAGATGTTTGTCTGAACTAGTGAGGAAGAAACAAAAACAACATTGTGTGGAGGGGGAAAATTACACAGTTTTCAGCCCATGCTGCAAGACTGAGTGTGGGGTTAGCCTGGATGCACAGAATTTCCTCTTTTAAAAATGTTATTTTTTTTTCTCCAGACTGCTTCTACTATTTGGAGTCTTAATCCTTGTTTCAATCTGTAGCATTAAATGAGAAGTTTTATTTCCTTTTTATTTCTTTTCTTTTCTTTTTTTTTAAAGCAACACATGATTCAATTGTGGCATTTTTCCCTCTAGTTTGGAACAATATGAAAGACCCTGGCAACATTCAATCATGTCCATGTATACCATTCCAGGGTGTCTAGTGGTTTTATAAGCATTCTTCTAATATAACATCACCCCCCCCCCAAATATCCTTACTTAAAAAGTAGATTCTCAAAGTCACCGAGTTATTTTGAACTCATTAATATTTTTTTCTGATTTTAATATTAATCACCACCCCAACAAAGCCCCTCCCTATTCCTCATGGTATTATTATCCCTTCAGCTTCCTGAGCTGAAGTGTAGGGTAACATAACAAGTTGGTTGCCCTGTATAAAAATGTGTGCAACAAAATGTCATCGAGAACACAATGTAGCCTTGTACAGCTTCATATCAGTGCCGCTGGGGCAGCCTGGCTGTATTTGCCTTCATCTGAAGAGCTTTCATCTGGACCAGTGTAAACTAAGCCCTGGTAAGTAATCACTGCCCAGCAGAGAGAAAGGAATGTATACAGCTAGCGGGGCCTAAGCTGTAAAAACGGAAACCTGAGCTCCCACCTCGGATCGCATATCAAGGCTTGAAGGTAGGGGAAATGAAAGGGGAAAGAGGAGAGAGGAATGGAAAAGTCAGCCTGGGAAGTGGAGGATCAGGAGGAGGCCCCCCTTGGGGTGATTTGGCCCGGGGATTAGGGAATTTTATCGTGGTGTACAGTGACCTACTCAGGTTTCAACACTGCCTGGATTGAGTTGCTTCTCTGTGAGCTGAAAGAAAAGGAACTGGTGTGTATGAGATTTTTTTTTTCTCCTCTGGGTAATAGAAAGGACACTGGTACAAGTGTCTATTTTAAGTGCGGCAAATGGGGAGTGATGAGAATGGCCAGCAGAACTGCCTCACCCAGAGACTTTCTTCAAGATTTCCTAAGCATGACAAGCACACGGTAGTTAAAACTGGCTGGGGTTTAGCTGACACCAGCGATGGCAGTGGAGGTGGTCTTCATGTGGCGGGGAGCTAATGCTGGTTGCTGTCTCACTAGATCGGATATCAAGTTGCATTTTCCTTATCACTGGTTTAATGGATATGGCAGTTGTAACAAATTTAAATTTGATACAATATAATTTTGTGTGTGAAAAGTACACGACTTGGCAAAGCTTGGCTGTGATGTACTTCAGGGGAAATATCTTCCCAGCAGGAATGCGTATCTTATTGTGAGCGTTATGTTTCTTTATCTTTTCTTCTTTTCATCCTAATTTTTCCTGGCTTAAAGAAAAATTGAATGCTGTGCTGACAATTAGTATGCCTTATTAACTAGTGACCAGAAAAGAAGATGTTAAAAAAGATAGCTATCAAAAGGGTTTATTATTATTATTATTATTTTGGCCTTCTAAAATGACTATGGGGACTCTATCTAAGTCAATGAGACCCTGATATATTGACAATCCACGTCACAACACATGGAAGTCAGGATGGAGGGATTCCAGCATATGGAAGAATTAATTAGCATAGGAGTGTTGTATCTTCTAGAACACAGTCGATTGAATATAGAAGCTATGTATTAATGAATATATGCCTAAACTTTCTCTGATCAAGACATGTATTTGTGCACATAAATCTCAGTGAATTGTGATTAGTAGGTCCCAAACAATAGCACAAAACATTCTAAACTGTAAGTAGAGATAATTAGTCAAATTTTTTCTTTTTAAAACTCTTTGACAAAACTAATGTGATCAGATTAGGCACTCTGGCCTGGAAACCTCTTAAACAACCCATTATTCCCTCACTTACAATGTTTGGTTTCTTTATCAAGTACTCAACTACAGGGTCATTTGTGTAAAATGTCACAAGGTCTCACCCTTGCTGAAGGTTTTTGCCCACAAATAGCGTCAAAAGCTAATTTGTGCCTAAAATTATACCTTGATCCTGCTTCCCACAGCCCGAGGTGTGCGCATCTGTTAGTGTTAGCAGGAAACCTTCCTTAGGGATTGCCTAGTTTGTTCTCTGATGGTCTCTGTGCGGCTTTAGAAATGGCCTCTGTTGACCGCAGGGACAGTAAAACAAGGTGCAGAACTGATGAGAGGAATAACTTGGATGTTCAAGAAGAAAATGAGAGAAATGAGAGTATGGGTTGGAAAAGCCTGTGTGCTGAAGGCTGACATGAACTTAGGGCCAAGGCAAGCACATCTTAAGTCTTAGTGTCAGTTACAGAACGCCCTAGGAACTTAGTACCGGCCTTGGGACCAGATCCCACGCAAGCCCTTCAGGCGTCTATCAGGCTGAGCAGGAGCCACAGGTGTGCTTTGTGACTGGGCTGATCCCCTGAGCAGGTAAGTCAGGCTTGGCCCCAGCCTCTGGGGCGCAGCAGAGTAGGGGTGTTGCTGAGCCTTTGACTTTACTCTGAGGGATCCAGGCTACAGCCATCTCCTGATGGGTGCAACAAGGGCTCAGAGAGCTACGTGCCCTGCTCTGGGAGGAAGGGAGCTTCTAGAAGAGTCTCCATGGGTGACCTGTCGAGCATGGTGGAGAGTGAAATGCCCTTCTCCAAGCCTTACACAACTTGTAGGGTTCAAATACTAGGAAATGGAAAGGAACCACTCCACTTCCTCCCAAATCTGAAATAAACATTTGAAATAGAAGAAAATGAGTCTGACAGACTCGTTCCCTTCTGTGTTTCCTGCCTCTGCGCTTGCCAAGCCCCGCTCCAAGGAGCCAAGCCCTGCTTTTCTTGTGTGAAAGACAGACTTATAGGAACCAAGAGGTAACAGAATTTTAAGGAAAGTCAAAAACAGA